GGATCAGTTTGCACACCATGCTCACTTACAATGTGCCCTAAGTAAAGCACCTCTTTCTGGAACAAGTGGAATTTCTTGGGATGGAGTTTGAGGTTTGCTGCTTTGAAATGCTTGAATACTTCCTCTAGCTGGGACATTTCCTCATCAAAAGCTATTCTCCTCGGAGGGATCTTTATTGGACGGTGATTGCCTGTGTTTATTCTGTGCTCTACAAGGTCTGTGCAGCCGAGGTCATGATCTCCTTTTGAAAAGACGTCTGCATAATTCTTCAAAAGTTCTCTAACCTGAAGAGCCTGTGATGATGTAAATGGACTGTGCTCTTCTTATAAATTCAGTTAAATGTTAAAGGAGTGGATGTCCTTTCCTTATAGTTGTATTTCTTGCCTTAACATTGACTGGCTCTACCTCCTGGCACACACCTAACAATGCCCCTTCCTGAAGTGTCTACTCACATTTAGAGAAATTAGCCACTGTTATGGGTACTACTTGATGACCTGGCACAAGTGACCTTCCAATCTTCATATCTGCTGGCCTGGATGGGTCTTCCACTGCTTCCACAAGCATCGGGCTTCCTTGGAAATGTTCTTTTATTCTACCCCAAATTATCTTCTCTGACATAGGGGATATTGTAGTTGACTTAAGTGCTGTGACACGCAAATCAAATAAAGCAGCAACACTTACCGGAATTTGGCCTTTGTTGTTCCCAAACGTCATTTTATCAAAACTAACTACACACCTCCTCGGTAGTAAATAGTCTAATCCTAATATGCATTGGTCTTCAATGTCAGCCAATTATACTTTCTGTCTGTCCTTCATGCTTATGAGCTCAATATTTACCCACACTGGTCCCCACAACCTTGCATAATGTCCTGTCACAACACAGAGCTTCTGTATGGCTTCTGGTACTTCTTTTGTGATCTAGCACCTTGATAGTCACAAAGGTTTGGTGAGATGCAGAATCTATGACAAAGGTGCACTTTTGGCCATTCAGCTTCCCTGTCACATAGATACTATGTGTGCTTGGTATTTTACACTTAGCTGGGACTTTTACGATGGTTGTTGGTACGCATCGCTCAACAGAAACCACTACTGGTTTCTCCGAGGCTGACTTATTAGTAGTATTCTTCTTACACTGCCCCTCATATGTCCTTGCTCTGCACAGTTCCAACAACCTTTCTGGGTAGCAGCCTTTCCTGCCATGTCATCTTCCTTGTGTTGAAGTTAACGGCAATGAGCTCTCTTGTGCCCAAGATTGTTATAGTGCCAGCAAAGTCCCTCAAACCTCTCTGAAAGCTGACCTTTTTTGGCCTTGAATCCTGCTGACTGTACCAACCTTGGTACCTCTGTGCTGGACTTACCATAGGATTCAAATTTAAGAGCTCTGGTCATTGCATCCTGCATAGTAGAGGGGGTGTGCTTGCTTTACTTGTATCTTCAGTTGTGGACTGTCCAAGGCATCGACAAACTGATCCCTCAGCAATAGCTTGAGGACATTGGGTGATGCAGTTGGGTAGGCCTTGTGTGCCATACTTTCAAAATCCTGTGCCAGCTCTTGCAGGCTCTGGCCTTTAGCATGGACCCTCATTATAAACTTAGCCCTGTAGACTTCAGACTGATTTTGGGTTCCATACCTGAGTTCTAGAGCAGCTACCAGTGCTCTATAGTTGTGCCTGTCGTCTACTGACAACTGTCCAAGTACTTCTAGTGGTTGTTCCTTCAGGCTCGTTGCCAAGTACACTGCTTTCTGCTCCTCTGTCCATCCATTTATTTCTGCCAGGAGCTCAAATTGTGCTCTATATGCTTCCCATGGTGCCTTCCCATCGAATTCCTGTGGCTTCCTTCCTACTTATTGCTGACACACATGTCTAGAAGGTGACTTCTGGCAGGACTGAAGATGTCTGCATTAGGGTTTAGCTGCGGGGACTGGAAGGGGCTTCCTGTTGTCTGGGGCTGATTAGGTCAATGGTTAATATATCCTTTTTGTGTACAAGACAGTAAATCGTACTTTAATGTATTTAATTCACTTTGAAATTTACTGATATTTTCCATTTGTGTACTCTGGCTTTCTGTCAACTGTTGGAGACTTTCTTCTTGTTTATTTTCTTTCTCCTCGAACCACTGCTGTTGTCTCTTTTGTTTATTTTGCTGTTCGAGCTGCCACTGTTACAGGTTTTCTTGTCACTGCTGTTGTCTCTCTTCTTGGTATCTGATGATGATGATGACAAAACCTTGTCGAAATGTTGTACATTTGCTGTTTTGTTAAATTTATATTAAAGTTTTTTTCTTCATTATTCATTCAAGCCGTCTCTAAGCATGTTATGAAGATAACTTGTGACAGTTCTGTGGCACGCTTGTTCCACTTTAGCAACAGTAATGGCCATTTGATGCAGTTCATTCTCTACCCTTGTCACAACAGAAATAATTCGTTCTTTTGATTCTGGGCGTCCTGGCGATGCAGAAACTGTTGTTTTCTGACGTAACTGGAACTGCATTATCACCCTACGAGTCGTTGTGGATAACAGTACTGCAAGTAACTTGACAATTTCTCTCTGACTTTGACCACTCTTCCATTGTCCAACTATCCGACTTCGTGAAAATATGTTCATCTTCTGGGAAAATTTCCTTCGTGGCATGGCTGTTTGTATTCCGTGGTCTTTATATATATATATGTTGAACGTATTTGCATATGACGTCATAAAGACGGTCGATTTTTACTTTCGGGGGTGTATATATATACTTATTGATAAGTTGTGTATTATAATCAGTCTTAACGGGATATTTGATTAAGGGGATATTGTGATGTTTGATAACTTTGTTATTTCTGGCAGTAATAAAGGCAATTTGAATATTAAGCATATATTCTGGTTTATCTGTGTTTGTTCAGCTTCTATACTACTAGAAGATTATTTTGACAAAAAGTCTTAGCATTGCTTTTCATGTATTATGTTCAGAAGCTGGTGTTACAATACTTAATCTCTATTTTTGTTTATCTCACAGCGATTCCGACACGGGCACCATAGAGGTCATCACAGTTTCTTCAGTCCACAAAATATCAGTGTGGGCCTCGAGACTCCTGCTGAAGAGTCTGGACCATGGGGTCCTTGGTCCGAGAGTAGTCTGTGTTCTCGAAGTTGTGGGGGTGGGGTCGCCTTTCAACTCAGAACTTGCACAGACCTGAGGTAAACTAATAAAAATTTGCAACGAATTGATGAAAATAATAATAATTTTTTAAAAGACTAATCTACGACAGGAAAGCAACTCCACCTAAACAAGCATAATCTAAGTTAAACTCACATTAGAACTATTTATGCTGTTATACGTTGTTGCATTACGTGGTAGTAATGTTTGAGGTTTAAATTAAAGTTTTCAAGATATAGACTTTATGCAGTTAGGAAGGTTTATTTTATAGAAATTAAAAATACTCTCGTATGGAATCAACAAGACATATACAGTATATATGACAGAGCAGCAATGTAGGAAAACGCAGTGTTGAAGAGTTGAATGCATACGCACTTTTCTGTGTTTGTTTTTATCTTATCTTCGAGTTTTCCCAGTTTTTGCTCTTCCTCTTCGCTGAGTCATTTTTTCGAAAACAATTAGATCAAGTTAACGTGTTTTTATAACAGTTTTTAAGTCTTTTGTTTTCCCAATATTTCGCTGGCTTTCGGCGTTTAAGCCGTAAAAGTTAGGTTAAGGACTAAACTTTATTAAAGTATGAACAGGTTAAACCTGTCTTGTTTGAAGCTTTACAAAAGTATGAACAGGTTAAACCTGTCTTGTTTGAAGCTTTACAAAAGTATGAACAGGTTAAACCTGTCTTGTTTGAAGCTTTACAAAAGTATGAACAGGTTAAACCTGTCTTGTTTGAAGCTTTACAAAAGTATGAACAGGTTAAACCTGTCTTGTTTGAAACTTTACTAAAGTATGAACAGGTCAACACCTTTATGGATTGAAATCCATCTAATTAAAATGACTACGAATTTTTAGACCCGAGTGAAAAAGTAATTGATTTAATTATTTATACGTCATTTGTAGCTATAAATTTTTCAACCATGTCATCAAGTTTCCCACCAGTTTAAAGGGGCGTTTATGACAAACATAACCTTGTGAACGATGCAAGTGATGATCCAGTATAGATATATAGTTCTTTAGCGTCTATATAAGTTATTATTTAAACAAATATTTGTTCTAAGTAGTTTACAGTGACTGATATTTGCCTGCTACAGTCTCATTTCGAACCTACTACATCTAATACTTGCTTTCATAAGCTTACACGAGAGGCATAGCGTAAATTATTTTAATAACATTTTATAGACATAATGAAATTCCACTAACTTCGTTAATTTAGTTAAAATGCTTAATAGGTATAAAAACAACAACAGCATCTAGTAATAACTGTAGAAGTAGGTCAACTGGGGGTGGGGTGGGGGGGTGGGGGTTCAGAAGGGCATTTAACATCAGTCCTGTCGACAGTAATTTTATTGATACTAAGGTCAAAAGAGCGCCAATTTTCTCACCACCATTATCTAAGCGTTTTATATCCACTCATTTTCCTCCCACACTTCCACCCTTCTGCGTGTTTATAATGAAAAGCACTATTTTTTATCTCTCAATTACTTTTCTCACACTTACCTAAAGACATGAACAGAATAAGAAGTTTTATTTTCGACGTTATTAACACTTTGATCATGCTTGCTCAGAAGATGAGTTAATTCCAAATTCCAATCTTTTTACTATCCACCACTCTGATAAAAGAACGTTTTATATAAACATGACTTCATGGTTTCGCCCGCTATTGTGAGTGACCAGAGCAGTAGACTCTATTTTGTCATTAACCAGACGTTGGTAGTAGGTCAGATACACCTGAAAGTATACTGTGGTCAGATAGTCTTCTCGGATCACGTGAACTTATCAATATACATTAACCGAACAATCTTATCAATTTTTGAAGGATCGAACAGTGTATAGTAAACAAAAGTTTTTGGTGGATCTAACATTATACAGTAATCACACATTTTTGTTGGATCTAATGATATACATTAACCATATATTTTTGACGGATCTAAAAATATGTTAACCAGACATTCTCAGCTGATGATAAGAATCTAACAGTGTATGTTAAACAGGCTCTTCTAGATCAGGTGAACCTAACAACACACACAACAATATTTGAATCGGACATTTTTACTGATATAATAGTGTACATGAGCTAGAAGGTTTAGTGGATTGGGTGTTGTTTGTTGGTTTAGATTGTTCACACAGAACCGTTGCTAAGCTGGAAGGAAGGCACCTAGTCAACAGTACCACTGCAAACTCTTGGACTACAGTTGCCTGACCGAATACATGGGATTTCAGCATCAATGTTACAGTGTAGCCACGGTCTTAAAGTGTGGAGCGTTTTGAGAGGAACAGTATGCGAACCATGAACCCTCGGGTTCAGAGTCTAACCATTAGGCCACGCCCTGCTCAACATCGGGGTTCCTTTCCACGAGACATTGTTTTTATATAAAATATCATTTTACAGAGCAAGATAACATCTTTGTTCAGAAACTCGTTATACAGAACTGAAAAAAAAAATATATTCCAAGTTTCCCAACAGTACAGAATGGACAAGGGTGTTAGATGAACAAGTTTTTATTTATTTTGTGAGTGTACTGCCCACAGATTCAACTGTCGCGTGTACTGGCCAAATGAAGATCCCCATGTGACTACTGAAAAAAAGAGCCTTAATGAGATTAGTTTTCCAGATATGGGTGTACTTAATGTCATAGGTGAGCCATAAACATGACCATTCGTAATAAAAACAGCTTATGTTCTACTGTCCCACGTGCTCATCATTGTTTTGAAAGCAACCTTTTTTGCCCACTTACTTATGTAATTTTTGTCATTGTTTGCATGCACATATTAAGGAGGGTTATTCTGGTAAATGCATCGAAACGGCAACGAGACGTTTCATCTCAAACAAGAACTGAAATGGGCTTCGGACGCATCCTGTTACAATGCGAAATATACGAAAGTATTTAATGGGATATATAACCCCAATATTGGTTGATTGTATAAGACTCAGTGACAGTACTACGAAATTAAGAAAAGAAACGTACAGTACCAGTAATAAAATAAATGAAGACCATGAGTTATGATCTGTCAAGAAATAACTCTTTTTTTTTCTTCTTCTTCTTCCCACCAGTCTTACAACTGATTTTATTTTAATCTTTTTTCGGTCAGGGCTACCGATTATTTCCGGACTTACCAACACACGTGTTAATGTCAAAAGGAGTAAAACTAGCACCTCCTATTGAAAAAGAAAAAGAACGGATTATACGACACCCTAGACATTAAATCTCGCTGCTAAGAGCATCAAAGTAGAAAAAAAAAACATTAGATTTTCCTCGGTCAGGCGACACTTCAAGGAAGCTAATCACCTAGGTGATGTAAATGACTCACTCAGACATAATCTCGGGGGGGAATGAATGCCGTGAACGGTCAATCTCAGCTCTATTCTGTGGTAGATGTTGGCGTCAGTATCAACCTAACCACGCGCAGTTAGTTGGCAGACTATTTATCATAGTCAGCCTGATTGTTATATAGTGGGGCAGACAGCTCTGGAGGGCAGTGGCCGCTGATCTTTAGAAAAATACTTAAGTTCATGCACAGTTTGTGCCCACGTGGATCTACTGTTATCATCAGTTTTTTCTTACGTCATGTGTCTCTTGTCAAGTATATATGGAATACACATCGTCATTGATAACGAACATCTTACAAGTAGCAGTCACTGGATATATACGAATCATGTGTATCTAATAACTAATGTATCTTACACGTGTTTAGTTTCACATAGCAGTCACTGGATATATACGAATCATGTGTATCTAATAACTATTGTATCTTACACGTGTTTAGTTTCACATAGCAGTCACTGGATATATACGAATCATGTGAATATAATATATATAGTTTATATTACATGTGTTTAGGTGCCCATATATGGCAGGCCATGAATAACCTTAAATATCGTTCGGTATGTTCTGAAGGCTAAAGAGAGATTTATTTCTTGTTCGAAAAAACGTACAAATAAACTGTTTATTGTGAGAGTTACAGTCACTATTGTTCTTCTGTCACGTGAGAGGAAATTGGCATTTTGAGAATGTAATTTAACATTTTGACCTCTCATGCACCGGGGACTAAATGAAAAAAAAATAAAAAATGAAACTATAGACATCAGAATTATGCTCTGTTCATTTCGCGGTTTGATTTCATAAGTTAGGTTTTCATGTAATTATTGCATAAAAGTAAAGCAGTAAACTAAGCAAATATGAAGATTCCAAGCAACTTAGAGTTTTGCCTACCTTTTTTACAATGATTTAAAGACTTAAACGGCATATTTTTCTTAACTTTTACAATTTCTACACACCAGCAAACCGTTTTGAAATTTAAAAGGTCATACAAAAAAACGTTGTTTTTCGGTTCGTAACAAAACATAGGAGATAAAAAAAAATGGTGTTATCGTTCACTTGAAATCTTATACGTTCTATTTCATGATAATTTAAAAGAGAAAAATATTCTTTCGAAGATTCATATATCACCCAAATCATTCTTTTATCCCTAGTTTACCGCATCCCACCTCTCTCTCTCTCTCTGAAGTGTCACGTGAGAAATTCTCCGTTGTAACAGCTGGAGTTGTCACAAGGAAAAACCTTCTTTTCAGCACTGAGTTCCAAACTCTAAGAGGGACTAGAAAGCCCGATATCACAGAGGATTACTTGATCACGTGTTTAAAAGTATTTTCCTTCCCTAGAGGACATATATATATATGTATATATCTATGTATTCTCCTATATTTTCTTACAGTAGATATTGCACGGTTTAACCACGTAAAGCCTATCAAGTGAGATTGGTGAAACTTTTATTCTTCTTTCTTTTCTCTATTCTTATTGGCTGTGCATTGAATTAAAGTGATCATAAATGGTCGTCAGATTATATATACATAATGGTCGTCAGATTATATATACATAATGGTCGTCAGATTATATATATATACACAATGGTCGTCAGATTATATATATATATATACACAATGGTCGTCAGATTATGTACACATAATGGTCGTCAGATTATGTACACATAATGGTTGTCAGATTATATATACATGGGTTATAGTTATAAAGCTTCCAGCTATATATTTAACTTAAAACCAAGTCTAGCATGATGCTTGGCTCGCAATATGGGGGTCGCGGGATCGAAACCCTTGTAGCTGTGGGTTGTTATAATGTGGCGGTTAATCCCACTACTCGTTGGTAAAGAGTTGCACAAAAATTGACGGTGGGTGCTGCTTGGCCAGTTGCCTTCCCCGTGGGGAAACTAACCCCGAGTTTTAGCGTTGTAAGTCTATGGTCATACCGCTGTCTCACCGGGGGACTAGGAACTTGTACAAAAGAACAAAGAAAATCTAGACTTTACAAATGCGAGACCTGAGTAAACGCTAAAATAATCAGCATATTTTATAAAAATGTGATACTAACAATGTGTTCACTTCATTTCGTCAGTTTTGAGTAACAGAAGTAAATGATTTTGTCGGCTAAATATGTGGAAAACAAAAATAGGCCTAACACTGACTCGTTAGCGTACTTAAAAAACTGTAGAATAAACTGTAAAACACATAGATTGGATGAGTCTATAACGATAGTTTTTATTATACCTTTCATAGCATGAAATATCCTTAAATATACATGGAATTTGATTTTGAAATCCACATCGCAAGAAAATTCAGTCCATTATTTTTACTTTTGAGAGGAAGTGCTAAAAATATTAAATATTTTGTTCTGCTTTTTTAAAATTTCATTACAGCTAAGTTGATTACAGATTTAGCAAATTGTTCCATTATCACGAGAACACGACTTATAACAGTGCACGAAATTTTCAAATAGTAATAAACAGTGAAAACATTTAAATTCTTTAAATTTTAACAAACATTCTCCAACATACTTAGGAACTGACTTGATTGTACTACAGACGTAACACTAGTCATTACAGAGGAATCCTGTTTTTGTTGAAATGTCTCTATTAAATCTTAGATGTCACGACTTTTATCTGCATCGCTTTCTCAAATGATGGAAATGTAATGTTTATTTAGCAAATTCTCGCGTTTCGTTATTATTGCTTTCAGAAACTGAAAATCTTGTTTATAATTGCTTACACTGTAATGACATTCCTAGAAATATATACATATTTATATCTTAAGATTATATTATCTGTTGTGATACGTTTTTAGTATTCTTTGCTTTATGTTTTGTCATTGATTCACTTGGCACCAAAGACTTTTTTTTATCTACAGAACCAGTTTGAAGATAATTTCAGTGAATCAAAATGAAACATCAGCAGTAAGCTTGACGGGGTATAATTCTAAAATTCGTGATTAAACTCCCGTGGTGGGCACAGCACAGATAGCCCATTGTGCAACTTTGCAAAGTATCAAACAGGGCGTATTTTAACCTCGTGATTTGTTTTTTGTTTTTTTGGTATTCTTTGTAAATTGCCCCTCTCTGGTTCAGCGGTAAGTCTGTAAGGTTACATCGCTAAAAATTAGGCTTCGATACCCGTGGTGCCAGAACACAGAGAGCCCATTGTGTTAGCTTTGTATTAAACAGGGCATATTTTAACCTCGTGAGTTGTTTTTGTGGTATTCTTTGTAAGTTGCCCTCACTAGTTCAGCGGTAAGTCTGTAGGTTTACAACGCTCAAAAGTTGGTCTCGATACCCGTGGTGGCAGAACACAGATAACCCATTGTGTAGTTTGCGCTTAACAACAATCAAACCAAACCATATTTTTGTACGTTGTCCATTTTAGAATAGTTTCAGATAATTTTACCAAGAAAAATATATATATGATGTATGCGAAAATGTAAATAATGTTAATAACTTCATTCAGTCTACGTTACAACTGTATGTATACTGTGAATGAACAGAGGTGAGTGTGATATTCTTACGAAAATCATATTTATAAAGTAATGACATAGTATCACAGAAACTAAATAGAAAACCTGTTTTAACTTTTTTTCCCCTCTTCTTCACAGTATTACAGGCACTCACTCCTGTGTGGGACCGTCGAAACGATTCTTCAGCTGCAATATACAGGTAAGTGTGATTATACAGTGCTGGAAACAAGGCTTTATTGAAGATTTTCACTACGATGTCTTTCTATTAGGAGTCATGATTTATTTTTATGTGGATAAATGAATGAATTTATATGTTATATCCATTCACTGCTCTACTCTATAATTCGGAGCATCTGCCCACATTGCCAGCATAACTATTATCATTGTATACATAAAGAAAACGAAGACAAAGGAAAGTTATTTTTATTATTTTATCTTACTACTTGAGTTAATTAATACGGTAACACTTTCGCAATCTCGGTAACTGTCCGAACTGTACTTTAGGTATATGCTGTTTATCATAAATTAGCATATTTCCAGATTACTTTGACAAACATCATTACAATAAGCAACAGGAACGCAGGGGGCACATGTGATAACGATCCAGGTCCAGCAACGTGCAGATATTAAAAGGGTAGGAGCTCATTGACAAACGAAAACGATTTATTGTGGCATCGTCATCAGCAAAATGAATATCGTCAATTTTCACTCACGTAAGCCTTAAAACCCTTAAAACTCAAGAGCTACTTAATTCTATTTAATGAAGCGTACTGAAGAGATACAAAAGTTTCTGACTGCCCCTGGTTATATTTCATTCCCCTAAATTACTACCACGATTGGATTGGATTGGATAAACAAAAAGGCACTTTTCAAGCATCATAAGACAAGCCTTTTTTGGGGAAATGGGGGGGGGGTGGTTAGGGGAAACTATATATATATATATATATATATGGGGATTACGGGTTGCCTCAGGTACACAAAGAAAAAAAAAGCGAAAGGAAGCGAACAAACCCTCTTTTATTCCCATTCAATTGGTTTTATAACCACTTTTAAAATTTAAAACTAGGCAATGAATTCTTGCGTATTAACACTTAATAGGGGCGTAAGAGCAGGGGCTTGATCCTTTCCAGCCATCCCCTCTGTACACGTTACTGTTTAGGTCTTTGTATTTTATTCTGGAAGTCCAGTGATACATTAGTTAGTATAAATCCAGAAGTCCAGTAATACATTAAATTCTAAGCTTCTATAAGTCCAGTGAATACATTATGTAGCAAGCTTCCAGCAGTTCAGTGAATACATTATGTAGCAAGCTTCCAGCAGTCCAGTGATACATTAAGTAGTAAGCTTCTAGAAGTCCTGTGATACATCAAGTTGTAAACTTTCAGAAGTCCAGTGATACATTAGATAGTAAGCTTCTAAAAGTCCAGCGATACATTAAGTAGTAAGGTTCTAAAAGTCCAGCAATACATTAAGTAGTAAGATTCTAAAAGTCCAGTGATACATTGTGTAGTAAACTTCTGGAAGTCCAGTGATACATTAGTTAGTAAAAATCCAGAAGTCCAGTAATACATTAAATTCTAAGCTTCTATAAGTCCAGTGATACATTACATTATGTAGCAAGCTTCCAGCAGTCCAGTGATACATTAAGTAATAAGCTTCTAGAAGTCCTGTGATACATCAAGTAGTAAACTTCCAGAAGTCCAGTGATACATTAGATAGTAAGCTTCTAAAAGTCCAGCGATACATTAAGTAGTAAGATTCTAAAAGTCTAGTGATACATTGTGTAGTAAACTTCTGGAAGTCCAGTGATACATTAGTTAGTAAACATCCAGAAGTCCAGTATACATTATGTAGAAAGCTTCTATAAGTCCAGTGATACATTATGTAGCAAGCTTCTAGAAGTCCTGTGATACATTAAGTAGTAAACTTCCAGAAGTCCAGTGATACATTAGATAGTAAACTTCCAGCAGTCCAGTGATATAATAAGTAGTAAACTACCAGAAGTCTAGTGATACATTACTAGATAGTAAGCTTCCAGCAGTCCTGTGACACATTAGATAGTAAGCTTCCAGCAGTCCAGTGATACATTAGATAGTAAGCTTCCAGCAGTCCTGTGATACATTAAGTAGTAAACTACCAGAAGTCTAGTGATACATTAGATAGTAAGCTTCCAGCAGTCCTGTGACACATCAGATAGTAAGCTTCTAGAAGTCCAGTGATACATTAGATAGTAAGCTTCTAGAAGTCCAGTGATACATTAGATAGTAAGCTTCTAGAAGTCCAGTGATACATTAGATAGTAAGCTTCCAGCAGTCCAGTGATACATTAGATAGTAAGCTTCCAGCAGTCCAGTGATACATTAGATAGTAAGCTTCTAGAAGTCCTGTGATACATTAAGTAGTAAACTACCAGAAGTCTAGTGATACATTAGATAGTAAGCTTCCAGCAGTCCAGTGATACATTAGATAGTAAGCTTCCAGCAGTCCAGTGATACATTAGATAGTAAGCTTCTAGAAGTCCAGTGATACATTAGATAGTAAGCTTCTAGAAGTCCTGTACTACATTAAGTAATAAACTACTAGAAGTCTAGTGATACATTAAGTAGTAAACTACTAGAAGTCTAGTGATACATTAAGTAGTAAACTACCAGAAGTCTAGTGATACATTAGATAGTAAGCTTCTAGAAGTCCTGTACTACATTAAGTAGTAAACTACCAGAAGTCCAGTGATACATTAGGTAGTAAACTACCAGAAGTCCAGTGATACATTAGGTAG